TATATAGATATAATATATATATATATGTATATATATGTATGGATATATATATATATATATTATATAGAGCTATGAAGTAGACAATAATCTTTTTCTTCATTCCAATCGTTCCAACTACCGCTCATATAGAACGGTAGCACTGTCATGTATAGACAAATATATATATAAAAACTGACCCACGATGTACTCACCGTCATGAGTTTGCATGCGCACACAGCATCCACGTCTGGTGCGGCCAGGATTAGAACAGACGCCGCTGGATGTGACGAAAGCGCATCTTCTTTGATCTTCTTGAAGGCAATGTATAAATCAGCCGGAGATGTACGAACCATTGCTATGAAGAGATACACGCACACGTGCGTGATAAGGCAAGTGTGTATGTATGTATATATATGTGTAAGACCTTATATGTGATCATGGGTGTCCTGTACGTGACAAATAGACGGGCTGTTCTGAGCCACGCGTATCCCTATTATTGGACTATATGTATGCGTGTTTGTACTTGGATCCATGTATATATATATATATACGTTTATGTATCTGTATATTGAGGTATATAAATGTATTTATATCTATGTGTCTAATTATGTGTATACTGTATGGATAAATGTAGGCGTGTGATTCGTGGTTCACTTAAGCGTACAGAGGGTCTTATTACGCTTATGAAACAAAGTGATAAAAATAATGATGTTTTTAGACAATTATATGTACAATGATATACAATATATTGTGATGTACTATCGTCAGTGTATATTGAGCTGATGTCACCAGTGTAAATAGGACTGGGTCGACGTGCAAGTGACAGTTACAAACTAATCAGGTACAACTCGACTTAAATATGTACATAAGAATAAGGAAGCGAGGTCCAACGTACTATAGCATATAGCTAATGATATGCATATATTTATACATATACATATACATATATACATATACATACATATATATATATACATATATATATTTATATGTATAGATATAGATATAGATATAGATATAGATATAGATATATATG